ATGTTGTAAATCGTCTTGTTGAAACCGGTCAATATAATGTTGCTATGTTATGAAACGCGTCGCCGTCTGCCAATTCTCAAGCGCTACTATAATGTCTATACATTTTTCTTTTCTTATACAAGACCTTCGTCCAAGTACTATAGATCTTTAAAGGGAATAACGAATAGCCAAGTCAAACCAAGATCCATTAAAATAATTGCAGCCATTAAAGAAATGTTAGCTTTAACACTTCTATAGAATCATTTCACTGCTTCTTTTCTGTCTTTCATAATTTTTCATTTTCTGTCTTCAGTAAAGAATTACGCAGTAGAATGTTTGTTATTAATTCCTTTATCATCTGCATCACTTTTATTGGTAAAAAGGTCAGCTGTATTAATTACTCCGTCGACTTCAACGATAATTGATATTTGGCAACTTTCCTGATTCAGAACGGAATTGTTTTGTCGAAAGTTGAACCAGCGTATAAATTAACTCTTATACAATTTATACCAATATGATGATGAAGATGATACTTCTTGATTCGATCAAAGTTTTAAATGGTTGTCGTGCAGTGTTTGTTAATGATAAAGGTTTTGTTATTGTGCGAAAGTTCAGGGTTGCAGTTATTGAAGATCAATTATGTGTAATTTCTTCGTCACGTGTTGTTTGCTTGGTGTTTGAAGAAAAACGATTTGCAGCTCTTTTGTTCCGTCCTTTGTTAGTTTGATTGGAAAACTATGTGTTTTGTTCTAATACATGGTTGTTTATAACATGTTTGATTTGTCTTTTTTTGTTCTGATTGATTAACTAATAGCTACTCCTATCTAGCTTCAGTGACAAACAGGCTGATAGACTATATTCCATTTTGACGTTTCAAAAGTATGTTTTTATAGTTTAATTGGATTTCAATGTCTTATGATTATGAGAGACCATCCGTTATATCCGTTTACAAGAATCTTATCTACTTTGAATTTTTGTTTTATTCGTAAAATATTTAATAAAATTCAGTTCTCTAAATTGTTGTTGTTAGTTTGGTAAATGCAGTTGAATACAGCTACAGTTTCATAAGTAGCGATTCTCGCCTTGACCTGACGCCGACGGACATTTGCGCTTTTTCCCCTACTGAAGTGTTTGTAAACCATTGTTAAGTGTTGCACGTGCAAACTACTGTTCTATGGTGTTCTAATTGTATAGAATTCAGCGATCTTTGTTACGTGTTTTAATCCCTATAATTTTCTCTGCATAAATGAAAAGGTCAGCAGTCGATTATACTTGTTGTTTTAGCTAAGTGAATCTGCTTAAGACTTAAGTACTTATTTTTAATACTATAGCCAATGTAGTGCTATTACCGTATTTATTTTTATCTCTATTAGTATTAAAGTGTGAACTTCTTTCTCGCAAGGTCGACCTAGCCTTCAGTATCTCCACCCGGTAACTGAAACTATGTTTATTATTAATGATAAGACAATTTCACACAGATTACCTTCATACCGACCTTCCCGGTCTCAAGTTTATTCTACTAACATCCGATGCAGTTTTCTTGAGCTTGTTGCTCGAAGTAAATAAGTATATTTTTTGCAGTACTCGTTCTAGGGTTGCATTGGTTCACTTTATTGATTCATCCTCTTTCTCCTGGCCGTTTCCCAAATAGGTCATATTTAGTTGTCAATAAATATATGCCTTGCTTTTTCCGCAAAGTGACCTTATTTACACAAATTAAGTAGAATTCATTGAAAACTTTCATTCGTGTGGTTTTCCTTGTCACTTGTCATTAAGTTTTCAAGTGCCAACCCATTGTGTCTATCTGTTTTTGAATTTAACTCTTCAAATCTATTTTTCTGTATTTTCTTTTTCTAGTGTATTTTAGTCTTAGTGGATTATCGTTTCCTATAACTTGCACCGTATGTGCAGACTGCAGAGATTGGGAAACTCTTGACATAATACAATATCGTAATGGACTTGATACTCGATACGGTCAGGTTGCTCCGAAGATTGTGTTCAATTCTCATGTTGATATCGACTTTCTTAGTTTGTTGAACGCTTTTAAATTTTTCTTCTTTAACTTTAAAATTCATTTTAATTTGCTTGTTGTTACGATAAGTTTTTATATGACGATTTATATTTTATTTAACAAAATTAACTTCATTATATTTCAGAACTGTCTGCAAAACACAGCTTGAGCTTTTGATATTATTATTTATACGATCCATTCCCAAAATAACTTACTTGTAGTCTTTTTTAGACGCTGTCCTAGAAAAATTTAGGAGTACCATAAAAACTCTGAGTATAAAGGAGGAAAATGATACAGTATTATTTGTATTTGGGTTGCCCCAATGCCCTAAATGCTTACTACAGACTTTAACCTTTAATAACCTCATGAAGGATAATGGTATATCTATACAAAGAATTATGTGACACAAAACTAGAACGTTTTATTCTATATTTTTTCGTATCAATGGCTTCATTTTATTCAGTATTGATTATTTTTGGTCTATGTCTGTCGTTGATTATGTAGTTTTGTCTGTTTCATTTTTGGTCTTTTCCAAGTCTGTTTTGCAGTTGTCCACACGGTGTTTCCTTACTCTAGTTTCTCAAGTTGTTCTGTATCTGGGTGTGATGTGTATATGAAATTGTTTGTTTCTAAACTCATCCACGATAGAAGAGAGATATCCTAGTGATAGGCAACGTTTAAATTTAGGTAAAGCAGTATCAAATTATTTAATAACTACAGAAGAGTATTTTTTTCTAGCAAATATAAATATCATAAGGCATCAAAGCATTCCCGAAAAAATAAGCCAATTACTAAATTACAAACCTACTCGACGGTTGACATTTGAAAAAATGTTTCATATAATTTACTGACCTTTTTGGTATTTCTAAATAACGTTGCGAGGCTTTTACGATAACTTGTGACGTCACTGGTGACGGAGTCGCTGTGACGTCATCTCAACACGCACTGAATGAACGATGACGTAGAGTGTGTATTAGTTTTATGGAAATGGCAGCTATGTCTACCAAATACAAGGAATTGATAAATAATTTATCATCTATTGGGTTTTTACAATTTTATAGTACTAACTATGTAAATGACTGTTAAGTAATACATATAGCTATTAATAAGCAAAATAATAATTGTATACAATCTTACAAACGTCTTTTATCTTTTGATCGTACACTCAATGGAAACTAAATTGTTCACATAAAAATCTACTCTAAATTCACCAACCATTTGAACACTTTCTCTTTTCGTAATAAAGCATTCACAAATGCTCTTATAGTAAAATTATGTTCCGTAAATGGTCAATAGAAGCTATTTGCTCCGTTTGTGGTTGTGTAGTTGGCCACGTGGTCAGCATAATAATTATTGTATGTTAATAGATAAGTGACTACTCATGATCAAGCAATTATACTGATAAAAATGTCCACACAGACCCATATAACAGTGCGTTTACTTGGTTCTATGATCTTTAAAGTAAACTGTCATCAGAGTCATCACACACTTGCCTATATTTTTTTTTTATTGGGAACTTCTCCACAAAATCCTTTGCCTGATTCTATTAACTTTCCATCAGACTTTAAATAAATAACTCTCTTAAATTCCCTAGCTTTTTTTTCCGAGGGAACATTATCAAATTCTCTCTGTGTGAGACTCTGACTATAACCTACCCGGTTCCTTTTCTTGCTCCAAGCCAGGGGCCGCGGTGCCTTATTACGCTATTTCTTTCCATCTATTCTCCGTTACCGTAAGTCTTGTCTGGTAGCGTTCATCTTCTCTATGGTCTTAAGCATAATTAATCTATGAGTAGTGTGTTCAGTTGTTCAACATGTTTTAGGACGGTGTTGATTGAGATGCCCGTTAGATCTTTAATTTACTTACACTTATGTGTGAGAGGATTTTGGGATCTTACCCTATTCCATTGCATTGGTTTCATTGTTAAAATAGAAAACTTATATCTAATATATATAAATATTTAAATGTATATTGAACTTGATCCATGAATAAAACAAAGGGGCGTGCCGGGTGATCCAGTTTATCTACGTCTAAATACCAAGTCTATGACCTACATCTTCTGCCTACGATAATAAGAGTACTTGAGATGAATACTGGCCAGTATTTTAAATTTATGTCCGTAGCAGGGAGAATTTTTGTACGGGTAATAAGTTTGTTAAAAGGAGATCCCAAACATGTTTTTGTTGTTTCCGTGTGCATGGGAGATATGTAGTACTACGTAACTGTTCCAGTCTTCTTTAATTATTCTGATTGAAACCACCGTGTAAACAGAGAAATACATTTGACAGCGGTTGTCCATGCGGCATTGATCATTTACCATCAGGTGTGCTCGATTGCCTCCGATTGCAGAAAAAAAATACTCGAGTACTTTTGTTGTTCAGTTTCAGTCCCTATTGACCTCATTCTTACCTAGGAGTAATCAGTAAAAATCTCAGAAGAAAATTTTCTAAATCGTCTGTTGATTCTAAAAACATACAAATGTTTTGGCATATTTCTGTCTCCTATTAAACTCGTATTAGTCACGAATCTACCAATTCTTTGAAGCTTTGCTTCTCAGACCAGACTTAGACGTTTACAAATGTCGCCCACGCTATGAAGAAATATTGCTGGCATACTTACTGGGATTATTAGTAAAATTAGTCGTGTTTAGTTTTAGAATATATGAAATTAACAAGTATAATTTGGTATTGTATTTATGATCATACCCCTTATTAAATATATTCTTTTTTAAATTTTTGTTAACCTTTACGTATCACAATTTTCTGTTTTACTGTCTGGATAGGTAGTGGGTGGCCATTTTGTAGCAGATAAATTTGAAAATAGAACGCAATTCGTATGAATTAATGTCATATCATTGTTTAGGATATGAAGGTAGCGTAACAAGCCCTTAGTCGTAAAACCATTAGTATTTTACATGGGATCTCTACCCGTCATTGTTTCAAATAGATTTTCAACCATATCTTATTGCAATAAGGTAACATATTGTACTAATGTTTATCTTCTTTTTCAGATTACGTAGCGGGAGGTGAACTCTTTACTCATTTATACCAGAGAGAACACTTCAGTGAGAATGAAGTGCGGATATACATAGCTGAAATTATATTGGCTCTCGAGCAGTTACATAAGGTCAGTACTAGTCTTTATTGTATTATATTGGTGCAGGGCGGTACCTGATGGTAAGCTAGGTACCAACGTCTTACCATAGATAGAAGATATATCTAATATTCGTCATAATTAACTACGCGTTCTACAACTCCTGAACTTGCTTGATAGTCCTCCAGGTCATTTCTGTTCAAAATCTTAAACACTTAACATCTCTCTAAAGACTTCCCTTTTTTTCCTTTGAGTAGAAGTATAGTAGTATAAGATAGTATACTAGCTACTTCTGCGCAGTTTACGCGCTGCTCAGGTTATATATTAGCTTATAGTCATCCTCGATAAATGATCTTTCCGACACAAAAATAATTATTCAATTCTAACCGGAGATTAGCAAACAAACAAACTCTTCAGATTTAATAATATTAGTATGGATTTCTAACTACAACATATCTTTAGTTTGCACACCATAAAATTTCTCACAACCGTCATGTTTTTTATCATTGCAAATCCACATTCATATAACATGAATCATTTGGTTTCAACTTTTTGTTGACTTTGCTAAGAAGTATGCATACGACACACCTGGATAGAGGACAAAGGTCTAAGAAGGCTTGTAGGCCTTTGAAGGTATTGAATCATAACAGGTCATTTCTGTATAGGTCAAATATTTTGCTGTGCGATTTACATAAAAAAATGTCTGTTAGGAATGTAGTTTTAAAACTAGATCTAGATATCTGATTATACAATTTTATATGACAAAGAATACCTTCTGTCCATTGGTAATTTATTGTAAGTATTTTTTTAATCTATGGATGTTGAAGTTTGGATTGGTGTATGTGAGCTCTATTCTGCGAAACTATTGAACAGATTTTCAGAGCTTTTTTTCTTTTGCAAAGAGGGCGCTTCATTCATGCTTCCTTTTACAAAGATGGCGCCTTTATATTAACTTTTTGAGATGAATTTTATCATACTATTTTTTCTTTCCACCAGCTCGGCATTATCTACCGTGACATCAAGCTGGAGAACATCCTCCTGGATGCCGAAGGTCACATAGTGCTGACAGACTTTGGCTTGTCCAAGGAGTTTTGTGGTGGAGAGAGCAGAGCCTACTCCTTCTGCGGTACCATTGAATACATGGCGCCGGAGGTGGTCAGGAGCGGCAGTCAGGGTCACGATATTGTAAGTACCAGATTTCTTATTATATATACTTTTATTTTAACGTGTTTTATGAAGAATTTTTGTTTGAAAGCTGTTCTTCTGTTTATTATTTATTTGTTTATCTATTAATTCGCGAAACTAGCCCAATTTTTAGTCTTATTTGAATATGGAATATTTTTTTTTTAATTTATATTTTAATATAACAAGTTTTCTGCACAAAAGTTTTTTGTTTGTGACAATGCCTTTTATCTGCATTATAATCGGATATTTTTCTTTTATTATTGAGTTTGATTTATTCTTTAATTTATTTATAACTTCCAACGTATGTATTCTATGTATTGCAGTGTTTATTAATGTACATACCTCCATATAATTCAAATTGCAATCTTACTTTTTACTAATATTATAAATGCGAAAGTTACGATGTTTGGATGTTTGTTACTCAATTACGCTAAAACGGCTGGACGGATCTGCATGAAATTTGGCACAGACATAGGATTTACTCCGGAATAAGACATAGGCTACTTTTTATCAACATACCACGCGGGCAAAGCCGCGGACGGAAGCTAGTCTTCATGTAATACAAAATGTAATTTAATATAAAAGTTAACGAACGGTTTCGCGTGCAACCAATAAGGTTGTAGTGATTTCTATCATATCATAGTGTTGAGTGGGAACCTTGTCGCAGACACGAATGTGAAAACGTTGACCTTGTTTAACAAACCTTTTTTTATATTTTTAATCAAATGACTGAGTATACCTAATGCTTTTGTAGGCTTTTCCTAGGAATTATTAATAATAATACTCACACTAGATTTCTTTACAATGACCAAAAAACATTTTTATGACCTGTTTCACAATAAAGACAGCTACCAAATTTGAATATTAAACGTTTTTAAATTAAACCGTGTTTATCGGGAATTATGACGAAGTATATATTAAATAATGTACCAAAGAATCTGTATGTAAAATTGATTTAAAAAGAGTAACCATGAAGTTTCTTGCTCGTTCTTCTCCATCGGTGTCTACACTTTGGAACGAGCAAATAGCTTCACTAAGAGGACTGACAGACAGACTGACACTACATATCTTTAAAATTTTGTTGACGTTCAGAAGTGCATGTAAGGGTATAATTGAAATAAGTGATTTTTAAAGGCTTTTGCAGTGAATCCGTGCATAGCTTTCATCCAATCTTATCCCTTTAAGGAACAATTCACTCTAATATGTTTACTTACACAAAATCAACGTAACCCACTTTAATAAATTATTATTTACTCCATTCTCAATAACAAAGGCTCAATATAAAGGCAAGGATTGCCCAACCATATTGCAATAAGTATATATATTGACAAACCTCTGCAGATACGGTTCGTGATTCATCCATTTATCTGCTCCTTAAGGTTTTATGTTACTTGATTAGAATGATATGCCCTTAAATGATTAGCTGTATTTATTTACTTGTACGTATATTTTGTACTTTATTTAGATAATTTTATATATGGGATAGAGCGGGAAAAAAGATATTACCTGATGGTAAGCAATCAGCGCTACCCATGGTTATCCGCAACAACAGACACAGGGGCATTGCCAGGCTTAGTCTTTTGGGTTTAGGGCTGGAGAGGATTGAGCCACCGATTATCTCACTCACACTGCGAAACACACCGTTAGCGTTGTTTCACGCTGTAAGGCCGTAATGTCACCCCGGTCGAGTCGGTCAAACAATGCAAGGCTCTCCCACACCTGGAGATACCATTTAAATTACGTTTTGAATAGTTCTTAGACTATTTCCTGGTAGAATATGAAGCTTCCTCTAAGGTTCACCCAATCTCCACGCTTAACAAGCAAGTTAACTAGCAGTTTTAAAACGTTTAGGTTTATCGAGAGAGATCTCTTTTAGGTTTAACGTTTTGAGTATATCCCCCAAAAATTGCAAGTGGTAAAATATATAATCTATACGTACTTAAATGTCTGTAAGTGTAGTTAATAATAAGTGAAAACAAGTAACAATTGATTGGATAATAATAACTTAACAATTTACGCATTGTCGCGAGCGATGTCAACAATAAATTCGAGTCAGCTGTTCTTCAACGAAAACGAATAGACTCTGTAGAAAGTATATAACATTCTTTACGCCACCTGTGTACGTTCACACGGTATTTTAGACGTTATTTCTTAGTCTGTAGAGGAGGTTATACTATGGCATTGTGTGTTGTATCAAAAGATACGTGTGAATTGGTTGATTGCTCGCAATTATATGCGGCTTTTATTTTACGGTTGGTTATTCTTGTGTTTGTAGTGGTTGCATACATACATCTTTATCAATCATCAATATTTTTTCCAAATAGTTTATAGAAGTTACATACTTTAGGATTTTACGACGTTCTTTTTGTAATGAAACTAGGAATTTAACAGTTTTTCTCTTTACTACTTCGCCTATGTCGAATTTAAAGGTAGTCTCTGCAGTATGTGTAAATCCTGTAAAATTTTCGACATACAAGTACCTTAAGGATGTAAGTTTTCCAATGTTGAAAGAGTTTTAAAAACCAATATACAATCGTATAACTAAATATTAGTACAAATATCTTGTAATACTCTAAAAAATAACATCGAAAACACATTCGAAACAAGAACTCTTTGAAAAATATAACTTGGCAACACTTACCGAGCTGTGCTCTGCAAACAGTGGTAACCCAGTTCCGAAGTTAACTTAACGATATTGTTACGTTGAAACACCTCTATGTACTAGTTTATATAGTCTAGACTTGTTACATACCTATTATGCTTAGGTTACGTTAAATTGGGTACTAAGTTTCGTAATTATAATCAAAAATCATTTATTGGACTTTTTAATACAATTATTTATTATAATATAGTAATTTATTTGACGATATACTTACTTTGTTTTAATTTTCGTTATTAATACACAATGAGTATAAATGCCATGACGTCATATCTTGCGATTTGTAACAAAATTCATAGAATAGTAGTATTTGTCTTTTTAATAAAAGAAAAAAGAATTTATTGATCGACGATTTAGAAAATTCCGGATCATTATCAAGAATTAATTTTATTAAAAGTTGTTACAATAGATATCTTAATTTTTACTTGGCAACTAAATAAGCAAACAAAATTATTTGACATTAAGAGAAATTGAGATCCTTTTCTTTAACCGATTTCACTTACAAAAAGAAGGTTCTTAATTCCAGTAGTACTTTTTCATAATACTGTTGTTTAGTTAAAATTAATTTAAATAACAAGTACGATTACACAGTCGCAAACAAAACACGTGTATACCTGTCTTCGTCTAAATTGATACAAATTAACTATATCTATCTCTTTCTTTAGACCGTGACCTACATGATGATTGCGATGTTGTGCTAATTTGGGCACTGTGTCTAAGAGCATAGTGCTAATATAACATAACATCACAGCTTATACAGAAAGGGATAGATAGTCTTTAGTGCAGTCATTCATTCTTGTAGATCATAGATTTGTCAAGACTTCTCTACATCAGGTTCTGTGTGTAAGACTTTTTGCAATATGGAAAAGGTTTTTTGAAAGTGGCATACGTCATAGTTACTAGTTAAAGAGATAATCTATAACAAAAAGTTTGGTGGTTAAGATTGTATATTAAATTAGCTCAAAAGTGTAAAAGTTTACAGACTTTGTAGAGAATGACTTAGGAATAGCCACTTTGAAAAATTATACTTATATACCATAATGAAACCTCCTTCTTAAAAGGCCGATAAGGCTGGTGTCCGTCGGCAGCACACATCACCTACCATCAGGGGATCCGTCTGCTCGCTTGCCTCCTATTCCATAAAAAATAATTCAAGTCTTAAAGACGCCTTCTAAAATTTCCTCCATATCTTTCCTATTACAAAACTTCAATGGTTATTCGGTACAACCATTCAGGTAGTTCTCACCATAACAACACAAACGCTATGGGGCTTATTGTGAAACTTTTCTATGAGTAACTTTCACTGTTTTTTTTTTAAATGTAATGACTTCATATTTTTTTGTTTAATGAAGGGTCTTCGTTTCTTATGGTATGGTGTCTGCTTTGGTTTGTCGTGACAGACTTAGCGTCGCCATAGTTTGAGTATTAAATTTTCATATGTTTTTAAAACATTTTTGAGATGCTTGATGAACCTTAATAATACTTTGGGCTCATTTTTTCAATGGTTAGATAAAAGTTACCTTAGGAATAACTATGATGCTGTCGCGTCAGAATGTTTGTATAAGACAGTGATAGCAACAATTTTTTTCCTCAGATAACATTTGTATGACAGTAGAAAAATCAGCCTTTACTAATCTATAGTATAGTTTAAAACAAAACGCTTGGATTACATTTTGTAGTAGAGCATGACATTGGATCTCACACTAACATCACATAATAGGTACTCGTTAATGCTTGGTTAACTTTATTATGAAACTTAGGTAATATATTTGGAAAAGACCGTTCAATATTCAACAATACATATAAAAAAAACTAAAAATATACCTAGTACATGTCTTGTATGTAAATGTTAGTCTGTAGTCACGAGTTTCATATTTTTAGAAAGCAACCATATTGTTTACAATAGTAAATAATTTTGGCAGACGAAAATTTCATTCTGTGCTTATTTATATAAATTCGTTTATATGCAAACTCGCATGCGAATAATTTTATGATTTATCGACACTTTTTTATTTAAAAATTCATCTTCATTCACCTTACACGTGGATAGATCTATATATTAATTTAAATTTATTTATTTATTTATGCAACTAATCACAAAAAACGTAAAGTTATACTATAAAGAAACAACACAACTAGTTCGTTTTTTAAATTGTACAAATTCTCACAAGCCAAAATCGAAATTGAATTCGCAGCCCAAGTTGCCTAGATCAGATTTTTGGAAGTCTGCCCGACCGATAGCCGATGATAGGCTTCCTTCCTACAGTACTGGAGTACCTATTTGCAGGATACATGTGGTTTGTGACACGTGTGACCGTATTTTAAATAGGTGTTCTACTTTTAGGGTTAATATATAGTTTTTTGGAAATAGCCTTGAAGGGAATCGAAGACTTACTTTGCTGTTTTACGGCATCTAATACGCACCTTCCCTTTTTATTTGTTTTTTGCTTAGCGTTTCGGCAGGATTACACATGCCATGGTCACAAGTTAAGTGACTAAAGTATAATTTAGGGAATCAAAGAGTTAAAATTGGTATTTCGTCTAAATATGAGATTTGATTTTTAAACATAAGTTTTATTTTGTATAACAGTCTGCTGGTCAGCTAATATTTAGCAAGTTTGTGAGTAGGCTTGATTGTATGGTTGTTACTCTTTCACGTAAATACTACTGAATTGATCTGAATGAAATTGAGCACAAAATTATATTGTAGTTTGAAATAACACATGGCTTTTTACCAGAAATAAGTTATTCTTCAGTAGTTACAGAGTATTGCTTTCGGTTTGGAAACTCAGTTAAAAATTAATTTTAATTTCCATTTGCTTGCAACCTGTTTAGTATTCAAAAAGTTTTTTCTAAGACTGCAAAGTAATATAAACAAATGTACTTAATTAAACATTTAAAGTAAAAACTTAACGAGTTCAATGTAATGATCTTCCTCATTAGTGCGACTAGGTAATGTATGATGTCCTTGCTTCCAATGTCAACGTCGTTGGGTAAATACGAGTGTACGTATAATATTATGGAGGGTGCTTCTTATTCTGCAGTTTGATGTGGTAACCAATCTCCTTTTGTTACGCTGAAATATCTTGAAATGATCCCTTTGTGAAATTGGATGGAGTGTCAGTGTGTCTTACTGACTTTTCCGGGGTTGCCGGGTAAGCGCAATGAGGCAACGCGGCCTCGGCCTAGAGCTGGAGAAGGAACAGGGGTTATTAGTCAGTAAGACTAATAGTCTGACACTTCATCTCACCTCACCCTGGGCGCGAGAAGTTTTATGATTTTCCCCTCACAAAAAAAAGACCTGAATAAAAATAACCTCGTTTCAACTCCTGTTTCGAGCTGGGGTATATGTCGTGAATGGTGATTGAACCAGCAACTTAGAAAAGTGACCCTAGGTCTAAGCTTAAATGTCTTGAAGTCCAGCTTTAACCTATAGGACACGATAATTTAATAATAGGTACGCCAACACCGGCATTCGCGAACTTGAAGGATCGTAGTACTATCTACGCTTTGATAGAACAAATATTTAATTCTTGAGTCGGTTCTTACGACATCCACAGGTCTGTATCTACACGATTTACAGCTTATACACAACTATACAAATCAAATAACATTATAATGTAATCCAAAATTATCACCTATTAACACACTACTTATCGTTTATATCAAAAATAATCTGAATAACTAACGTTACTTGACAAATTGAACAAAAATGCCAGAGCCATAACTGACCTATTTGCGAGATATTCGTTGTTGACCTGTTTAGTTATCGTCCTGATAAGCTCTTCAAAATGTTATTATAAACATATTGTTACACGAACTAGCAGGGAGCATTCACCCCGATTAAAAATAACAGATTAAAAAAGTAATTTGTACTTTCTGTTGTATCAGAATTGTGTTGCACTGCCTCGTTGGTGTAGTAAATGCTGCTACGACTGACTCTCGGTGTAGCAAGTATTATTGCGACAATTTTAAGTAAAAGAATTCAGTCTAAAATAGGGCCAGTGTGCCTAGCACGAACATTATCGAGAAAGTATTCGTATCGAGATCGAAAGCATTTTCTATGGGATTTGTACAGCGCCCCTACCGTGCGTAAAAGGAACTAAAAATCGCAAGCACGAATGATTTTGACAACTATCCTATAGTAATCGTATCGTGTTGCTATCGAAACTTAGAACATTTTGACACAAATTGGAAGCACGAACGATCTTTTGACGTATAGTAACGTAAGTTTCGAAGGCTGGCTATCGAAAACTGTCGAAACATTTGTCACTAAGAATTTGACGGTGAGAAAGGTTTCGAAATATTTCAATCGTGTTTTAAATAATATATTATAAGGTTTGTGAGTATTCTTTACGAGTATAACATCATGCAAAACCGCCGCTGTACGAACCAAGTTGGAGAAATAGTTAATTTGTGGCTATTTTACTTGGAGATGAAGAGTCAAGAGAAACTTTGTAAGTACCTAAGTACCTACCTATTCAAGTTATGTTTCACTTAATATAGACATAATGTATTCAAGAAAATAATACGAATTAACTGATTATTCTAGAGAAATCGTGTGCCGAGCTAAATTCAGAAAGATATCTAATCCAATGGATATCACTGAAACTTAGTTTAGAAATACTAGGTACCGCCTAAATAAAGAAGCTTTCAAGTACTTCTGTGAGCAACTCCAACAAAAACTAACCTTATAATGCTAAAATGAAATCAATAGGAGTCGAGCAGCGGGTGTAGCTACTATTAATTAGGTTTTCTAATAAATATTTTTTTACAGGTGATTCTGGCTACCTACAGCAACCATGGCTAATGACGCCTACTCATTTTGGATGCGGTAGAGGGAACTCCGGGCCACAATATACTGCAGTAAAAGAAAGAAGAGGCGATGCTTGTGCAAAGACCGCACTCTGCATTATGCTCCCGAAAAATGTGTTTGACAACGGCTTGCTGCGTGTTGCATAATTTAGTCATAAATTTTAATGTGCCTGAGCCACAGGTAGATACAACAACAGCTGAACATCAAGACTTGTCTCATGCCTCATCTTCTGATATGAGACATGAAAATGATAGAAGCGATGATTTGATAAATGAAAGGGCTTTAAGTAATATTCTGGTACAGCAAATAAATATACTACACAGATGACCCAAGTGTTTTATTATTATACATTTCCAAAACATCTTACACACTAATCTAACTTAAAAACTATTCTTACCTATGTTTTTATAATAGGTAACTATAGTGAGACATTTTAAATTCAATTCTAACAATCTTTCCTCATTCCAAAATGTAGTAATTTAAAATAAAATATGTAAATATACATTAATCATCTTTTAACTAGATTATATTTTAATACATTTATTGCCTCTCATAAGTTCCAGCCACTGAGCCTGTAAAAGGAGCTCTGCCTTACTCTTCATTCTTCTCGTCGTAATTCCAGACGCTCTTGTTCCATTATATCATATGTTTCCTCGCGCTCCCTAGGTTTCTTATCATTCTCTAAACACAATTTGATTAAACTCCCTTTAGATTTTTTTTTTCGGTCGAGGCTTCCAGCGTTCCTTTTCTAATGAAGGATTGGCGACTGGTGGTATCGGTGAACGGCTGGCTTCATGGGTACTGCGGAGTGGTCGGAACACTGAAGGCTCGCTGCTTGTCACTGGCATATTCCATGAAATCCACCATTAATTCGTATTGGAGCCG